TCCTTAGATACACAGGACGGAAAGGAGAAGAAAAAGATTTCCACTCACAGCTCATAGGACTCTCTTATCTTACACACGTTTCCCCCATTATTTCAAGTGGGCAGTTCCCATTTCTCCCCATATTTTATGATCCTATGAGCTTTGTCATTTTCCCTCTCTCCACTCGCTGTTTAACACAGGGTTCAACAAAGCTCCCGAAGAGGCTTAAAAACCAATTCAATTGGACCGGAGGTCCTGCCTCGATAAATCATCTGTGATATACAGTACGCGTCTTTTTTGAGCACTTCCGACAACTTTTACGGCATGATCAATTTAGTGGTTATATCAGACAGCATCAAAACTGTTTGGAAATACAAATGTACTTCGTCGGTGGTTCAGGATATAGCAGAGTCCTGTTTTCTTAGACATCCTGCAATCGATTCCTGTTTTTCCCCCCTCTCAGCACTGTCACTCTACACCATTGCGGGGCTACGTATGTGAAATTTACAACATCTCGCCGGATCAGGCTTTACCAACCAGCAAATACTGCAAACTTGCTGTTACATCAGCCCTTCTGTCACAGTGCAACTGCTTTTCTTCGTCTATTATTTTTATTAGCGGAGTAGAGAGAGTCACATACTGCGCTGTGCAAGACCCAAGGCAGTCAGACAGACGAGTGACTTGATAAGATCAGCATAATTGGCACATTCATCTGTCTTCTGTTAATAAAGTGCTTTGTGGTCGAGAGATCAACAGTGAAAAGCTGTGATGCTCAAGGTTGGTATTATCTCTAGTGTTGGTTTAGCTAATACATAACGCAAATACGTTTTGACAAACAGGCTTCAGTAGCCTTATGCCAGGGGCAAACTACATGATAATAGGCCCACGTGACGTCATGATAGGCACGACAATTCGTGGTGGACAACCCTACATCTGAGACACCTCAAGACATCCCGACATAAACACTAGCGTGTTGGTGCTGCTATGTGGAACTGTGAAACAGAGGAAAGGTCACAGCCATATTTTTTACTTTTTCTGGCTTTCCAAACACAGCCAATATTATACACATCACTTCGAGCGCCACTGTTTGTTCACATTTCTGTTACTGGCACCTTCTTCCCAATGACAACCCACAGGTCGCGAAAGACAGCAAGCTATGATTGGTGTTGTCAGATTTGTGTGTTTTCTGCAAGGCTGTGTCTGTACTGCCAAAGACTGTTTATGAGGTTAAAAAAAAGCATAAAAAGCACCCTGCAGCACTGTACTACCTGTTTCTGTGTTTCTCCAAACAAATTCAAGTGATACGTCTTCTCTGCAGCTGATCAGTTTCAGGAGTCACATTCTCCCAGTTAATCTATTTCCTATCAATAATTTAAGCTTGCAATTTTGAATCATGACATTCAGTAATTGGATCAATTTATATTACCGGCATTACGGTTACAACCCTTGTTCTCAGAGAGCATCGTGAAGGAAAAAACAACTTCCTTGTCTGTAGAGCTCTAGCTGCTATGGCAATGATGTGCTAAGCTAAAATTTGCATTTCGATCTACTGGTATACTAACAGTTTGTGGGTGGCCAAGTTGAAACATTAAGCACAAAAAGAGAGTATTTTAAGTGACTGACAATGAAGACACTCGCTGTCTCAAGAGCTTACTATAGAGCATATTATTGTTAGTGAAACACTGTTCGGATCATCCGAGCAGCAGAAGAGAGCGAGACTGATAATGCAGTGGCTTGTAAGAGCCCAAAATAACTGACCCACAGTCAGGCATCCCAACTGTGATTATATTCTATCTATTAAATATTATTTTAACTATTAATATCTGAAAAAGAAATGAGAACACGTATGAATGACACTGCATTTAAAGCAATTCTGGGTCAGTAGTACCAAACGTATGTATATCTAATAAAATCAAAGGCAACGTTGTTTCAGGAAAGTTAGCGTTTCAATAAAAGATTGCTAAATATGGTGATGATGCTGTGGCAATACCGCGATACCACACATTCCTAGACTGCATGCCTGTTTGTGTATCATTTAGCAACAGAGCAGTCCCATGGGGAGAATGGTTAGAGAAGGAGAGAGGATAACATAAAGCAAGCAAGAAAGAAAGACAGAATGAAAGAAAGGTAACAGTTCACACAATTCGTTCAGACAAATGCCCGTGTCTGGCTCCTCTACCTTGAAAACATAAATCAGAGCAGTCTACTCAGGATTCATCACACAGACTGAAGACTGAGCACAGGAGGCCGTTGAGGTGCTTCTTGAAAAGATGAACCAGGACAGGAAAATGTTCTGTTCACTGATCTCGCTAAGGCTTTCAAATACTGTACCAAACTTGTGTAATGCAGAAATTGTAGAAAGTAGAAATGAGCAGTGTACAAACTAAATTCTGACAATCATTTTCATGTTACTATGACTGTATAAATTCCATGTGCCCGTACTGGGACCTTAACCGTGCTCATTTAATAAGCGAACAAAGAAACTGTACTTGTGTGATGGATATGAGTGTTTGAATTACAACTGAAGGAAGAACAAACAGTTAAAGATTTCTGTCCTCTTACTGCAGTTTCCTTTCTGCTACTGTGTTTAAATCTGTGCAGTATCTGATGGATGATGCAGTCGCTAATGAGAGCTGGATATGTCCACATTTAACTGTCTCACTAACGATAAGTAATGACGGTAGCTTAGCTAACACAATTAACACTGGCGCAGAGAAAAATAAAAATTCCCCCAGAATGAAGTATTATGTAAATTATTAATTACCACATAGACGATTGCAATCTTGTTCGGCTGCCCATTGGCACTCAAATAAATGTGAAAGATTTGGAAACAGAGAAAGGAAAATAGTGAAGATAATCCTGACACAGTGGGAATGTGAGAAAAATACCACCTGCTCCTTAAGCAATTTATAGCAACAATTTGCATTTGCAATTTACCCACTAAGCACAAGCTCTTATCCTGACTGACTCGCAACAAATGCAAACAAGAAACTACGAATGAGAGTAAACATTTGAATAATTTTGCATTTGTTCTAGTCGGTAAGATGTCAGTACTGCTGCCATATCTGTGGTACATACAGCTAGACTGTAATGCATGTCCAAGAGAAATATTCTAAATTCAAATGCAATTTTCTGGAGGGACTCGATCGCTCTATTCACCATTACAGAAGGCGAAAAATAAAATATTAGAGCCGCTGTATAGTAATCAGTATTTAATTTGAATTTCAATCATATGATTTCTGCACACTCTCACTCTACATTCAATGAGGGATGCATGTTTTATGAGCAGCAGTTTCCACAAATGCAGTTACACTTGTCTCCTCCTTGTGTGTGTTTCAGCATATGTATGTGTGTGGGAAAGACAGAGCGACAGAGAGTGAGTAATGAACAGATAAAGAGCCAGCGAGAGGTTAAGACAAAGAAAGAGAGACAGATACAGTCCGGTGTATCCAGGAAGAGAAAGACAGACGCGGAGAGAAAGTGATCTTTCAGATTCGGTGTCTCAGCTTAATGACACTGGAGCCACATGGGAGAGAAGGAAAGCCAAGCTCTGAGCGAGATATGATGAATCCTGAGACCGATAACCTCAAGCCTCCTCACTCACAGCCTACACAGACACGCACACACACACACACACACACACACACACAGTCAGGAAAAAACAGTCTCTGAAATTAACTGCTCAGCTCAGAAACTGAATTGGTAGCTTTTTCCTCTGCTTGTGCTTCTTGTTTTCACTACTTCTGCCTTTTTTTCTGTGTCTCTGTCAGCTTCCAATATGGTGTCAATACCTAACACTGAATCCCCGAACCTGTTCCCCTGTGACCGTGAACAATATGTCTGGCTGACTTTGACAAATTAAACCCACTCGATATATGGCAATAACCTTCACAGGATGACATGGAGGAAAGGAGGGACGCCGGGGGGAGGGTTTTGGGGAAAGGGAGAGGAGCAGAGACCGAGAGACAGATGGAGACACATACAGATGGATGACAGGCCATATTGAGCATGGCATGGTATTTTCAAACCAGGTACAGCATAAAGATACGCACAGGGATGGCGCACATATAGACCGACTTTCTAAATGTCACCTTAGTTAATAATAAGTCAGCTGAAACACACTGAATTATCTCTGCAGGAAAGGCAGTTAATTGGACTCAAAAAGCAATAGCCCACAAGCTTTTTAATAACTGGCAGATAACAACAGTCACTGACGGAGAAACAACCATTTAGCACATTTCCATGCATATGTTGATACACATTATAACTACACTAACAGTTAACTGAGCAAGTCTGAAAGCAGCATAGTATCATTAAACCTCAGTTAGAGATTATTAAGATATTTCTATCAAATTAAGCGTAAAAAAATGACACAATTTTTTTCATGTAACCAACAGTCTAATCCTGATAAAAGAGTTGAATTGTTGTTTGAAACCGCTTCCCTAAATGCTCATCCAAACTCAGCAGTAACTAAAATCCTTTAGCTGACACAATAAGTTGTCCATCTAAAGAAAACACCAGTGGCTTTAGAGTTATCTTTGCTGTAACTACTCCAATTAAAAGCAAGCCTTCATAATGGATCTATTAAATGGCCCAAGTGGCTATAATTCAGACATGTTTCACCTGTTACAACACAAAAATCTTCTACAACACACACACACACACACCTGCACTTTAACTACAAAAAGCACCCACAAGCACACACATAAACACACAAATGAGAAAGAAGGGGTCATTAAGCAGCTATTGTTGTGTTCCTCTCTGCTCAGCATGATAACAAGTTGATTGATACAAAGGTTCCCCACTTAATCACCTGGCTGTGACTATAAATGCACACTGTCTTGCAAGTGATGCAAAAACTACATCAGGAAATAAAACAGGGGACACACAGCACTAACACAAAGGCAAATGAATAAACAACTGTGCATGAGTGAAGACACAGGACATACACACTCTTGTCACAAGCAGAATGCACCTGCCGAACATCCATCCCCGTTCCACAGATGCACAAGTTAACTCACCTGCTCCGAGTGACCAGCTGAAAGCTTTCAAATTGGCCTTGGGTAATCTTCTTCCCTCTCGCTCTCTTCACTCTCTCTGTCCCTTTGGCTACTCTCACTCTCTCTCTGTGGCAGTACACGGACGTCCTACGGGCCGCTCACCCTTCTTGTGTGGCTTGGCGTCAGTGCATCGATCTCTCGGCCAAATGGTACGTGGTCCTGCTGTTTCCACGAGACTCAGATGTGCCCTCTCCTCCTCCGCCGCTCACTCTGCCTCACACAGCTGCAGAGGGAAATATGAGGACGGGCAACGTGGTGGAGCTGCTCCACTCTCCCTCCCTCTCTCTCTCTCTCTCTCTCTCTCTCTCTCTCTCTAGTGAGCTGAGAGTGTGTTCTCTCTCTCTCTCTCTCTCTCTCTCTCTCTCAGGTTGTCAGCTGGTACGATGCTTACTCTTACTGTCTCTTCACTCTGTCACTCTTTCTTGCTGAACTGAACTGCATGCTATCTCACCATCTCTTTTTTTGCTGTTCCTCCATTGATTCCTCTGTCTTTCTCTCTCTCATTATTGATCTGTGCCTCTGTGTCCTTGCTAGTGCAGCCTCTAGTGGCTGCTTTCGCTCCATGCTGCTCATAGAGGCATCCTATTTTGCTTGCAGAGAACACAAAGCTGTGATGTGAATTTGCTCCAGGATTCGAGTTGGCGATGTCAGCTAAAACAACAGACAAAAAGAGAACATAATATACTGCTGACAAGGGCTGCATAGAATTTGAATTATTTTCAGTGTTCAATACTTTTTTTAGATGACTTGATTAATTAATTAGCTTATAAAGTGTCATATAATACATTTTTCCAATGCTCATGGTGACCACTTAAAATAGATTTTGTCCAAACAACAGTCAAAAACCCAAATATATTCAATTTACAATGACATAAAACAGAAAAGGTGAAGCTTAAACTACCAAATGTTTTCCATTTTTGATTAGGATTTCGCTTTATAAATGACAATGAATCCATTCTTAAAATTACTGTTTGTTATCAATTCAACTAAGTTTCAGATGGGGCTGCAGTCCTATTTTGAGCAGAATCATTTTCTTTACAAAACTGAGTTTTAAAACGCATTCAACTGTCTATGATGCATGTTAGTGAAAACATTTCAAAAAGGGTGGTGATCATTTGAAAAGCATTAGCATGTACACCTGATAACCAAAAGTGTTAGCACGTTAAACTGATGATGAAGAAAAGTATGCTTACATATTGTGTCAAAACAGAACTTCAATAACTATCTGCATCAGTATCTAATGCTAGCTTTTTGGTTACCTTAGTGATGTTGACAGGTAACTTAGATAGCTATGCCAACAGCTAACATTAGCACGCCTTTGGTGCTAACATTATTTAATACCTAACAGAGTCGTTTGGAGGAAACTCACCAGAGAGGGAGTAAACATCTCAGAAATGTTGCAGAAGTAGAAATAACAACAGCACAACTTGTTCCAATAACGTGATGTGCATTACTGTAAAGTCAATCAATCAATCAATCAATCAATCACGAGGTGAGGCACTTCTTCTGGAGGGCTGCTCAGCGTCATCGTGCTCAGTGCTGCCGCCGCTGGCTGGAAGCGGTACTGCAACACCAGGGATGTACCGATACTGTGGTGATGGTCCTGGATCAGCTAGTGCCACTCAGGTCACCACTCCGGTGTCAAATAGCTCACATAATAACATATAGAAGGAACTTTACATTTTGCACCATATAAGCTCTGTAATGTAGAAATTGTTTTATATTTGGTTCACAGTTAACATAATCCAATGATATTAGTTTTTTAACTTTTGGACCTTTTTAAACTTTTTGTTCACAGAGCTTACCAATAGGGCTTTTCTATTAGCACATGCCGTGCTAATTTGAATTACCATTACCACTTTAGACATGCCGAGTTGTGCTGAGCTGTGCCTGAGATGGGCTTTCTCTTAACCAGTGCCAAAGTGTGCGTCAACTCCTGTCCGTGCAGGAGAGCAGACAGACCGACATCTTTAAAAGTCTCTGTGCTTATAAGTTTCTCTCCTGCGTCCCTATGTGGGACAAAGCCAAAGCCAAAATCTCAACCTGTATTCATGTTTGTCCAAAATAGCCATCATTTGTTACCACTCTTAACACTCTGTAAACTTTTATTTGCATTAACTAATGCAAATTTGACAAACAAGACTACTCATGAAGTATATATTAACAAAATAATTCAAGAATTAATTTAAAAACTTTGTAAAAGAGACAGAGAGTAGGTGTAGATCCCTGGTTGAGCCAGATGTAATCACTCTTGAGAAGAAAGAGAGATTCACTGAGAATAAAAACTAACCTTATGGATGCAACGGTTAATAGCCAATAAGAGTCAGAGTTCTCGACTGCATGTGGGGGGGGGGGAAATAAGGCATCAATCAGAGCCGCGAAAACTGGGGTTCGCTTTGATACAAGATTTTAAAAGGAATTAGTTTTATGGCCTCTCTATTAGAAAAATGAGTACATCCAAACACATACTTATGTTTATAGACTTATAGGTCTTGTGTCCCTGTAGACGTGCCTCATGTAATGCCGTTATTGTTATGCAACTCAAAGATAAAAACTGACTTTTTTCCTCTTAACCTTTCCTCACTTGTTTAGCCATGATAGATCCTTTTATGCCAACCCTGACTGAGGAGTGGATTTCTTCATCGGGGAAGTGTTTTTTGATATTTTGTGCTGAGGGATGAGGGAGGGACCTTCTTCACTAACACAGCAGTGGAGGTGTAGAGGACGAATCTCAGGAGCTCATCAACTGCTGCTGATCAAGTGCTGGTCTGCAAAAAGAAAAACTGTTTTGTGCAAAGGCCACAAGCTACTTTCCATCACTGAAGGAGAATATTTGCAGGAAACTGTAGCAGTATCAGAAATCACCTCAAACAGAACAATCATGCAGAAAAAAACGTTTTTTAATGTTGCTGATTTGTTTGTTGATGTGTTTGTCAGGTTATGATAAAGAAAGGATCCGGGAGGAATGCTGATGTTTTATTCTTAGTAAGTCACACACGTGTATACGCATACACACACCTCTACTGGTGCTTACAATCATCAAAACGACACAGGAGTCAAAGCGTACTCACACCACAGGAGATGAACCAAAAATACCTCAGGCTTTCCAACAAACAGGATGGATAATAATTGTGACTTTGTGTGGGAAAGAATAATGTGTGGGCTGAATTGTAAGACGCTGGCCTAGATAGAGATCCACAGGGTGCCATTAGCCAGGTATAGAAGGAGAAACTGATGATCCTGTCACAGCTGATGAAGAGACTTTGGAGGAGATCACTTAGAGGGATCATCACAGGGAGCTAATTAGAAATACTTGGAAAGGAAAGCCAATGAAAAAGATGTCCAGAAGTGTGAGTTAAGTCAAAAGAGTGTTTGAACTTGTTACTACAATCATATATATTTTTCAAATTCAACTCTCCATTGTTTGAATTGAAGAAGGGAATCTTTATCCACTTAAAAATGTGATTTAAAAATGAACTGTGCTCAACTGTGCTTGAGAAAATCTGGTAAACATAACAGCAGCAGTGTGTGAAAGTCTCTTTGGCCCTCCTGAAAATACGTTTTTTATTTCAAAAATAAATACAAAAGACAATCATGATGACAAACTTCTATGTATATTATTATATTTCACAAACATCTCCATGTAATGTATGGGCATGTCTGAAATAAACTGCAGCTCTCTGCATAAATAAAATACAAAACACAACCTGGAACACCAGTCGCAAAGACAAAAGCACTGCTGAAATGCATGCGGGCTAAAAATGAACTTTCCAAAACCTCCTATGCAAGTGTGGCAGAGCCTCATCCAAATTCCCGAACCCCCAACTATCAGTCATACATTATTCCAATGTAATTTTAATGTTTTTAGTCTTTGCATGCATGTACACAGACAGAAACTCAAAACTCAAAGAACTGAGAAACTTGATCAGAAGATAAGATTTGCTGTAGTAAAATAAATTGTACGTTGACATTGTAATATATTGTTTCTTCTTCCCGCGCAGCAAATGATGGCTGTGATTTCCAAAACAGCAACAGCAATGTTGATTATTTTAAACAGCCATTTCCATGCAAAATGCAATAACACAAGCTGTACTGTGCAGAACTCAGCACTCACTGCTGCTCCAGTGAGTTTCCGATTTATTTACCTCTTGCAAGAAACATTCATGGAGGAATAAATTAAATGCCAGTGACATTTCCCATATTGTTTGGCCATTCATTGCATCATTGTCATTTATGGGCCAGAGAAAGTGGACTATTTCATGAAAATTTGATGGTAAGAAATGATTTCAATCATATGTAGATAACCTCCGCCTGTTTCTGCTGTGGCCTCAGCTGCTCCCAATATTCTTCTTCCTACTACGTCGTCAAACAAGGCTAAACAGGTCTTATTCTTTATTTATGACACTGCATATCTTCTAGAGCAAAGCCCCAGGAAAAGCTGTCTGTATTTACTTGAGATTGGATGTGATGCTGAACTAAATAAGGCTTTTAATCCCTTTTTTATCAACAACTTGGTTATCCTTAGCACTGTAAGCCCTGGAAAAATGGCTGTTGAGTAAAAAGTCAGCATACAGCCTATATGGTGAATGAATAATAACACAAAGGTATATGGTCTTGGAAGCTAATTCCATTTCAGAGACTCAATAGGATTCAAGATAGTCATTCTTCCTGGGAAATGCAGCAAGTATAGCCTGTAGAGAATGAATACCTTTGTTTATCATAAAGGGGAGACAAGTTATTGTCTTGACTGTGTATGTGTGTCTTCCAGAGGATCACTGGTGCTGACTGACAATAAAACCTCCCACACTCTAATCAGTGAGGCTCTTTTTTTGTTTAACGTCAGTACCTGAGCGTGCCAATAATGCAATTAACGTATGTCGAGTTTGTACAGATCTTAACAGTGAAAACAGAAATCTCAACATGTGAACAAACTTGCTAGCATGTTGTAGAGGGTTTGTAGGGTATACATTTTATTCTGTCGTAAATCAACCTTCAACCAGTCCAAATAATCTCAAAGAGAAAACCAAAACTAAAGACAAATTCAGTTCAACTTGGAACATGGAATAAAACAACATAAACAAACTGTATAAACAGCA